GGCTGGGGCTGAGCTGCTGGAAAGCAGCTCTGCAGAGAAGGACCTGGGGTTCTGGTGGACAAGCTGTCCATGAGCCAGCAGTGTGTCCTTGTGGCAAAGGACAACGGTGTCCTGGGATGCATTAAGAAGAGGACTGCCAACAGGTCAATGGAGGTGATCCTGCCCCTTTACTCAGCCCTAGTGAGGCCACATCTGGAGTGCTGTGTCCAGTTCTGGCTCCTCAGTACAAGAGAGATGTGGAGCTCCTGGAGAGCAGGTCCAGCAGAGGGCAGCTAAGATGACTGAGGGACTGGAGCATCTCTCTTACAAGGAAAGGCTGAAGGAGCTCGAGGTTCTGGAGTCTCCCTCATTGAAGATACGCAGGAACTGTCTGGACACAATCCTGTGCCCTGTGCTCTGGGATGACCCTACTTGAGCAGGGGGGTTGGCCCATACGACCCACTGTAGTCCCTTCCAGCCTCACCTATTTTGTAATTCTGTGAAAAATACAGGCCAGACCATCTCAAAACTTTACCCATCTTGAGGACTCATACCTTGACTATTTGGAGTTTGACTTATGTGAAGATTTCTTGTTTATCCTACTACCATTCAATTACTTTCCAATGTCTGCAGTAGGGAATAGCTTCAGTGATACACTATTATTTAATTCCTGAACTGCTGGGGTGTGATACATCTGTTATGGAAAATACATGATATGGTTGTTGACCCAGTAATTTATAACACTAAACTGTAAGTTTTTTCCCAGGCTAGAAACATATTTGTTTTGCAGTTCATTTAATTCATTCTGTGTTTGAGTGAATTTAGATTCTAGGATGATTTTGAGGTAAGAAGTATTTCTGATAGAATTCAAGGTTTAGTGCATTGGAGAGGATTTCCTTTACCAGACCATAATTCAGCTGATGGTGGTTGCTCTGTTGTAAAGTATTGATGTCTTGGGATAATGTTTTAGCAAAGTCAGGGAAATAGAAGCAGTGGGAATCCAGCTCTGTGAATCACTATCAGTATTTAATATTCATACCTGCATATTCTAAGAATAGGGGCCATCATTCATTACATTAGTTGCCCAAATGAAGCAGTTAATTGATGAGCTACTAACTTAAGGATGACTAGAGCTCTTTTTGGTCGTCAGTGAAAAGGCATTGCTTAGGAAGAACCCTATCATCAGGATAATAATTTGAAACCAAATAGCAAGTAGAAGATGAAATCAAGCTTCTAGATTTCATTCATCCCTTTTTTTCTCCTCTGTTTTTTTGCTCTTTTCTGCTGCTTCTCACATCCTCACACAAATAAGCTTTCCATCTTGTATTTGCACCAAATAGTCTTGGTGTTGTAGACTGACTACTGGGCATTTGCTATCAAATGCCATGCAATGAGTAGCAGATGAAAATTTTAAGGGAGTAAAGACAGAGTTTACTTGCTTTACAATCAATTTATCACTGACTTGTAGATGTGCATCTTCTTTCTTCTTACCCGTCCCTGTGAAATCATTGAATTGTCACTCAGCTTACACCATGGGTAACAAATATTTTGATAGTACTATTAGACACAGTTCAACCTTATTTTTAAATCAGCTTTTTCTGGATCTTAGAATAAGGCTGAATATAAATAATGAGAAGGAGACATTTTCAGAATGATTGACTATATTGAACAAGAAAGTTGTGAAGGACTTTAAAAAAGATTACAGAGCTCCCTGGTAGTAGGTAAAAGCAGCTTAAATTAAATTTACTGTGGTTTTTATGTGATGAAATTATCTGTTTCACAGAGAATTGTAGCAAGGGAAATGGTAGACAAATGTTACAGATTCCAAATTAGCTACTAAGGAAAACATAGGAAACTAAATACTGGCAAAAATTTATTGTACTTTTCTGATGTCCTGCTGGATGCATCCAAGCATTCAGGCAGTGATGTGGTAAGTTACTTTTCAAGGGCTAATGCACGACATGATGATGTTAAAGCAAGTTGGGAAATACAGAACACTGAACAGCTCTGTAACCTTTTTTTTTTATGACTATGCTTCTAGAATTTGTTTGCATCAGAACCTAAATTTGGACTGTGTAATACCATTATCTTAGTAAGTTTACAATGGAGACTTCTGGTGACCACCTAGTCAGTCTTTTTTCCCCAGCACTTGACTCAGATTCAGGCAGGCTCATCTACCTGGTTTGTTTTCATATATTGGTCTGAGGGACAGGTATAGATCTTGTTGCCTTGGGTTTTTTACAAGCTTGTGGTAACAAATGCTTGAGGTCCTCAGTCTGAAATGAATGTGCATCTCAGAGCTCAGGGTAAAACAAGTAAGATGCTCCTGAGAAAGAAGCTAACAAAAACAATACAAAAATTTTCTTGACAAAAATACTGTGCCATCTCTTCCTTGAAAGTTTTTTTACAGAATAATCACCTTTGTGCCAGGGATTACCTTCAGCTATTCCCACCCCAAATTCAGTTTCATATGAAATCCAAGTTTGTATTGAGGCAGCATTATAAAGCAATTTGTGACTGCTCTGATTAAGAGAGGCATGAGCACTGGGAGCTTTTATATCCTGTGATAACACCCCCCTCACTGTTTTTCTAGTGGTATTGGGAAAGACAAAATCACAGTTTTGACATAGAGAAGGGACAAGTCTGATGCAAGTGTCATGGATTAAAGTGAAAGAACAGCAGAAGCACACAAGACCTGCTTGCTTAAGGGACCAGGAAGGTAATACTGAGTCCTGTCCTGAAGGCAGGAGGCATCACATGTCTGGGGCCCTGAGAAGAACTTCTGCTGTCCAGATCATGACAGGATGTACCATTTGAGTAGAGTTCTGATCTCAGACTTCTGAATTCACGGACAAGAATGTGTGCAATTTGAAAAAAGAAAAGATTGGGCAGAAAATCCTTCCTCCAAAACCTTGAGAAAGTTAAATGCAAAATGCTTATGTTAGAAGGCAGTAATAGGGTTTTTTTTCCTTATACTGGCTCTTCTGAAGTCAGAGCAGGAGTGTTTAGAAATTACCATTCTGTATTTTTCACAGTTGTTATGAATTTATAGATTTTGGGGGATTACCTTCAGGATGTCTATATCCTGACAGCTATGAAATAAAACTGACGGATTTGTAACTGAGAATTCTGTATTTTTTGTGAACAAAGACAGAAGAACAAATGAGTAACACAGGTGCTGGAGGTGAATGCTGGTGTCAAGACAATTGTCAGTGTTGGTGCTATGTCATTTTTATATTTGGCAGTTAGGCAAATTGTATTGACTTTATTATCATGTACTTACATTCCAGGAAAAATTTAAACGTGGTACATATTGGGATTGAGATTGATAGTCATAGTTTTCTGGGTGATGTGATTCCTCTCTAGCAGGTAGTTGCTTCTCATCAATGAAAGGGCATCTGAAATAAATGAAAAGTGTACTTACTGTTTCTTCAGTATTAGATGTGCTTATTTCTGGTATCATACTCCTTGTCGATTGGACAGTGTGATACCTGAATACATGGGACTACTCTGGCTGCTGAGGAAACATCTGCACTGCTGGCAGCTTTGCTGACAATTGCATTGATACTGTAGGTACTGCAGCTTAGGCCCTGGAAACGAGCCCTCATTAGGTAGAAGGACGATTGCCCCAGATACTACACTGCTCCTCCTTACATGTGGCCGCTACTCGATAATTTAACATAAGATTTTGACACTCTTGAAGGCAGCACCCAGTCATCTTTCAACTTGTAATTATCTCTGTGTTTCCTTTTCCTAGTTTTTTTCCTATTTGTTTTTTAACACTACTGTTTCAAAGAATAGAAAATGTCCAGATGACAAGAAACAAAAGCTAATTAATTGCCTTAGAGTTACGGGGATAAGGAAGAGTGGAATAAAATGGGATGTGATGCATAAGGTCTCTTCCATTAACACCTTCCATGAACACTTTATTCCATAATAGGTCTCCTTATTCTAATTTTATTTTTGAGGTGTGCCAAAATAAATATTTCAGGCAGGTTTTTTTAAAATTTCATTATTCTAACCTGCTTAAAAAAAGGACAAAACAAACAACCACACATCCCTTCCCCCCCCACCACCAACAACATACAACCCTACAAAACTGCAGATACCGTGTACAGTAAAAAAAATGTGATCTTCCATAGCTATAGATACTTGACTTGGCAGTCTTGTAAACAGCAGTCTAATCTAGGGAAAATCTTGGGATCAACCTATACCAGAAAGAAAAAAAAAAAGGAGCAATCAAACCTCTATGGAGTAAAAGTATGTACAAAGGGAGTTAGTGTAGAATAAGTTACTGTGTTTTCAATTCTCACCCTTGCTTTTGTTACACTGGCTTTCCTCTGCAGACAGGTTTAAGGGAAGGATAATTTTTTAAGGATGAAACTCAATTTTCAGGGGGGAATGGGATTTAACAGTACAACTATCATTACAGTTTGTGAGCCGCATGTAAAGATGTTGAGAGTTTTATGGCTTACATTTTTAATGCAGCTGTGTTTAAATATCTTGTCTATATTCTGCTGTAACATCAGTTTTATATCATGTGGAACTAAGCTATTTTACCTTCTATTTAGGCATATTCCCAGGTATCATTAAAAATAACATTTTAAGGCAGATCTTGTGGCAAAATGCCAGCTAAATGCATTGTTGGTTATAAATAAGGCTGCTTCTTCAAGCTTTTTGGAAAGAGAACACTATTTCTTGTCTTATGAACCTGTGGATGCAACTCATGCCATCTTTTCACCCATGCTTTCATCCTTGTTTTCTCCAACAGAAAGGAGAGCCAAACTGCAGTATTTTTTCTCCAGAAGCCACAGAGCAGCTGACCTTTGAGATTCCTCTGAATGATTCTGGCTCTGCTGGACTTGGTGTGAGCTTGAAAGGCAACAAATCTCGTGAGACTGGAGCTGATCTCGGGATTTTCATCAAATCTGTTATTCACGGAGGTGCTGCTTTTAAGGTATGGAAGAAGCACATCAGAAGATTCTGTCATTTCTATGTTAAATGCTGAATTGTTGATAAGCATTCTAGGAAGAAACTCCTTGGTCACTCATTCCTTTAGATAAGCTGCAAATCTAATATTTTGTTCCGTGGTTCTGGTGTTGTGTGTGGGAGGGTTTACCACAGTGAAAGAGAATTGGTGGAAACCTTGGGGGACATTCTGATGCTGCAGAAAAGGGCGAAAGGGAAGAAGGATAAGGATGTGTAGTTATGAGTAGAGGCTGCCTTCCAGCTTCCCCACAACCTACAGAAAGGAAAAGGTTTGCGCGCCGATAGACTTAGCGACAGAGAAGTTGATGTCTACACTGTCCCTATAAACAAAAAACTGTCTTAGGATTTTCTTTTTATTAAAAATATTTTTTTTTATCACTGTACTAAAAATGTGCCTGGGTTGAACTTGACATCTGTTGTGCAGAAGTTACCAATTGTTCCTGAGGTGGATTGAATTGATAATACCAAATTGGTAAATGACAGTGCTGTGAGATACTCTGTTCCCTCTAAGGGCTGTACAAGGACTATTGTATATTTTATGATAAAAAGTATTTGAATTATTTTTTAGTCTTTAAAAAAATCTATTGACTGCATTTTTCCCCCAAATACAACCTGAAAAATGTAATTTTTTTTGAAATTAGAAACAAAAGACCTAATCTTTCAGGGCTGGTATGTTTAACTCTTGTAGATCCGTTATGTAATTTTTGTCTTTTGTGTTATCTCAGCAATTCCTTGCAGTTTTCTTTTCCATAAAAAGTACCTTTTAATTCAGTGTATGTAAATTGCTCTGCTAACATCAGCCTGCTGAGTAAGACAATTCACAGCATTAAAACTTTCATGATCATCTATTTACAGCACCTAGTAAATAGCAATAATCAAGGGTTGAGCTTTGATCTGAATGCTTAATAGTTCCCTGTTTCTGTTATTTACCTGTCCTAGTCCCATGGTTATTTCAAAACTTGGATCTTCATCTGCTCAGTGTATTTTAGAAATGAGTTAAGGCACAGTTGGCCAAATTAGGGCTGGATAAACTCAATTTATGTGCATGTCTGCTACAGGGTCCGACTCATTTAGCTGTGGAAGTGAGGCTGCCCTCTTTGTTTTCCCAGCTCTGTGTCCCTGAGGAATTGTCCACACCAGTTGCAGTGACAGGGTGTATTGCCACAGATAAACTCATTGTTTTGAACAGCAAAGCTTGTGGATCCATGCTGCTACAGCACTAGAGGGCTGGCTGCCTGACTGGTCACATCACAGACACAGAAGACAACCCTTTCCATCTCTGTGTGTTTACCGCTCTCTGTTCCCCCATAGTCACCACTTCAGAGCAGTTGATTTTGGCTCATGACGTTTGCAAACTAATAAAGCAGGACTTCTGTTCTCACTCCTAAGTGAACCAGCACAGTTAGTCATCTTGCCTAGAAGATTATTTTGTCCTGTGGTAGCCTGTGGTCCTGTGATCTGTTCTCTGTTCTACCCTTCCGCCACTCAGAACTGTGTTGTGGTCGTAGATCTGAATGGAGGCTCCAGAGCAAATGAGACAGTAGCTGAGGCTGTAGCTTCAGCCAGAACTGCTCAGAGAAACTTTGCTCTGAGTTTTATACAAGTGCTCACAGAATGCAGTAATTTTGGCAGTGTTTTGAGACTCACTGTTGCGTGTGCAATGGAGAACAGCTGCCTTTCTTCTGCTTAATGACCTTTATATAGAACACAGCCTAATCAGTGGGTATTAACAATTAATAAAATTTCATGTATCAAATTTAAAAGTGTGCACATATTTGTGCATAAATATTTAAAGATGTCCTATTGTCCTTATTTTAAATCTCCTCTTGGAGCAAGTTTTGAAATGAAAAGCCTTTCTTTCCAGCTGGTAGTTGTCCAGAGCATTTTCCCATGCTATTCATTGTTACTCTCTGAAATGGATTATTATGGATTAAGACATGTGCATTTGCTTTTCAGTGTACAATATTTTCTTGGGAAACTGTCACAGGAGGAAATCGTAAGGCTCACTGACATGAGAATTCTCTCACTATTTCTCACTTCTGCATTTTGAATTTAAAATTTGTTCGATTTTGGTGTATCATGTTAATATGAGTGGGAACTTTATCCCCTTGTCTCTACAGTCACTGCTTGTCTTCAAAAGCAGACAAGTAATACATCCAATTTCAACACATTTCTTTCACTGATGAAGAAAATGCTTAATCCTTTTAATGCTCTATAAGGGTTTTGATACATTACATTTCTTGTACCAGTGTGTTTTTTAGAGTGAAGAGTAATGAACAAGATGCAGACCATCTTGTTTGGTTACTGGTTTGAACCAAAGGTCTGATATTTTAGTTTTTTGATAAGTTAGCACATTAATCCGGCTCTGATGTGTTAGTAGCATTGCAAAGTGTGGTAAGGGATTTGTAAACAAACATAATGGAAAATTTAATTCTTGAATTTTATAGTTGGTGATTTTTTTTGTCCTACATAAAGATTTTAGAAAATGTCAATGCATGAAGCATTATACATGCTACAGTAAGACCCAATTCTATTTACTGCTCTTGCTACAACACCAAAAGAAATAAAAATGCCTTAATGTTCCTAGTTGGTATTCTAACACTGTATCCTGCAGGAACGAAAACAGTTGCTTTTGCTGATTGAACCATTATGTCCCTTTCTAACATTCCTTTATAATTTTTGAAGTGTCTATTTTTTATCATCCCCGAGATAAGAGGTTACTAGAATACTTGATATTTGTAATTATGCAGAGCCTTTCATGTGAAGAAGACCAATATTTGACTGAGTTTAAAGGCAGCATCTTTTTCCATAACCTAAAAATTTTCAGCCTTGTTCATCTCAAGACATCTTGGCTTTTCACTTGTGGTGCATTCCTGATGGTCAGGTACTTGCAGTCTGCTGCAGTGGAGCCATTATAAGTAATGATGGAATACTTGCTACATGTGCATTGGTCAAATCAGACGTGGTGTAGCTCGGACCTCCTTGGTCCTTCTGAGTGCTGCTGCAGTAAACATTGCTTGTTGTGTGCAGTGAATGGGGAAATTGGAGAATTCCCATAAATGCCATCAGGGAATTCCTGAGAGAAGTGTCATTGATGTGATAAGGGAAATAACTAGGTGTGCTTTGATTAAAAACATAAGTCCTTGAAGAGCATGGCATTATATCCTCCTGCTCTACTGTAAAAAGCCTAAGTCTTGTGAATGACTGTGAAGGATGTGGTAGCCGTGTGAAGGTTCATTCTCTCCCTTGCTGTGAGTCTTCATAAAAAGCCCAGCATTTTTTGAATAAGCAAGGGAGGAACAACATCACCCCTTATTAGAATAGCTCGCTCACAGTTTCAGAGATGGCATTTGAAAACTGTTGTGCTGAAATGCCAAATGCTGTTTTTCTGCTGAAAAGCCACAAAGAAATCTACCTCTCGGAGATGAAAGAAGAAACGTGTTAAAACAACATTTAGCTTGTTTTGAGCCGAGCAGATTTTCTTGCAGTTCAGGCTTCCAAACCAGGCCATAACACAAGGGATGTGAAAATCTGTGTTTGGAAACTCTTTAAACGTTGGGATTTTTTTCCCTGGTCTTTGAAATGGCAAGAGGTTTTACTGTGAAATAACTTGTACCTGAACTTGTGTGAAAACAGTGTTCAGCTGTCTTCTACCCTGCCTTGTCCAGGTGACTTAGCAAGTGTGGTTGATCAACATTTGTAAAGGATGCACACCTTTTTTCTCTCATCACAGTTGAAATGTTGAATTTTTCATTTAAATGTTGCACGTAACGGAGTGGGAAGAAGGGAAGATGCCTCACAAGAAGCTCTTTAAGAATTAACATTATTAAGATGTGTATAAATATAAGGTCTCATACAAAAGTATCACAAGGAATATTAGAAATGTGGCCAATTGAGAGCTTTCTGAGGCTCAGTGATTCATATAAGAATACGCACTGTGTTCAGGACGGTTGTGTATTCAGCAGATGTAGTCATGACAAGATGCATTTGACATTGTACACTAGAAAGAAACTTTGACAGATATTTATATGGTGGTTTATCCACAGAAAGGAAAAAAAGGAATCCAAGAACATGTGGGACAGTAGGAGGAGCACACGAGGTCTTGTAAAATTTCTGAAGTCTTACAGAAAAACCCCACCATTTTTTCCTCAAACTCCTGTTGCTATGAATAGCTGCATTCATTTCAGCAAATTTTGATAGAACGCAAAGGAATTACAACATGTGCAAATAATAAAATTCACTGTTCAACAGTGTTAACTCTTCTCTCCCTAAACTTTAGCATGTGTGATGGCATCATTTGTATGTAGAGAAACGGTGGGGTTAGCTTACTTACTTTGGCTGTATGTACATTTAAGTTGGCATGAAATATTTAGCAGAGGGGTGGGAGAGATTTCAGTAACTCTTCCTAACAGCATTGCTGTTTTCTATCCTTCATTCCTACACTCTCCTGAGAAAAGTTTTATTTCTCTCTATTTTCCTTCACTGAGTGACTTACCTCCCAATTCTGTCTTTCCATCTTCCTGTCTGTCCTGGTTTATTTTGGATTCTGTTATATGCTGTTTCTTCTTCAGCTCAGTGATTATCTGTACTCTGCCGTGGTACTAACGATACCCAGTTCCAACAGAAATAACACTTAATAAAGCTGGGTGTGTCACAGCTACTGCTACTCTCTTAAGCAAAAATGACTTAGACTTGGCAGAATAATTCATTGAACATCTTAGTTATAGAAAAAATGACAATCAGGTAGTGTATTTATTTTGGATTACTCAGATGCATGAAATATGTAAACAGTTTGGATGAGTGCCTTATGAAGAGTTTGTGATGAGCCTATGAACTCACTAGATTCATTTTAACCAAGCAGTGTATTTCTGTGCAAGAACTTTCCCTGTTATTCTTTCTTCACTGCCTTATGTTGGATGTCTTCAGTTTTTTTACTCTTCCTTCTTCTTGTTTGAGGTCTGATGCCAACCTGATAGTTGTGAACTTGACAAGCTTTAAAAGAAACTCTTATCTCAATTATATAGACCTTGTTTTCTTGTTAAAGAGAGAAGTCCATGGCACATGCTTTTATGAAAAGAAATAAATCACAGATCATAAAGACAACAGCAATTGGACTCCTAAATCAAAAAATAGCAGTGTCCACAATTTTGTTATCTCCACAAATGTCAGTTAGCCTTGGCAAATGAAACCGAATGACTTTTTCAAAGCACAGGTTACTTGATAAGCCTCAACCCTGATTTTGTTATTGGCAGCAGTTTTGGATGTTGTAATATCGGGACAGCATTAATTAAAAAGGATGCTTAAGTCTTAATGACCATTCTGAACAGAGAAGTCTAGCCCATATGATGGCATAGTAACTGTGACAAGGCAGACACAAGGGAGACCATAAGACAATATTTTGAAGCTGTTTCTTACCAGACCTTATAGGAGATAATGCAGGGAAATAAGTTGCAGTACTCCTTTGTGGTTGAAATGGGGATACTAACAGCTGTGGTGTGGACCCTTTTAACTAGCCAAAAGCTTCTTTTCCTTTTTTTTGTTGCTTGCATTGTTTTGGTTTTGAGGGTTTGGTTGTTTTGTTTTGATTTTAACTGATACGAATAAAACTGCATGTGAGAAAAGCAGCAGTCTGTGCATGCACTTCTGTTTGGGTTTGCACTATGAGCTCTTTACAAAATGTAGTAAATAGAAGAAAAAATGGCCGATTACTGGACACAAAGTTATTTTCGGCACTGTGCAGTCTCCTGTTTCTTGAATTACAGGAAACAACATCTGATTATCTTCGTCTTGCTTTCCTGTATGTAGAACCTCTGCCTAACAATTAATTCTTGTGGTGTTTTTTTTTTTTTTCAAATATTGTTTTATTTTTTGCCTGTAGGATGGTCGTTTGCGAGTAAATGATCAACTCGTTGCAGTCAATGGGGAGTCGCTGCTGGGCAAGTCAAACCGCGAGGCAATGGAAACACTGAGGCGCTCCATGTCCATGGAAGGGAACATTCGTGGGAGGATCCAACTGGTAGTGCTCCGGAGACTAGAGGTGCAGACAGAGGTGAAGCAGTAAATACATTTATTAGACAAATGTCTTCCCAGTCCCAGTGGTTTTGCATACAAGGGATGAAGGCTAAAGTCTTGGTCATGATGGCTAAAGTCTTGGTCACAGAGAGCTTCTCCTGGCTGAAGGAATTCTTATCTTTATGGAGAGAGGATTCACACAATGTTCTGGTTGATATCTCCTTGTCTTGCTGTTCCTGTTGAAACCAGGCAAAAAGTTGCCTCTTGTTTTAATTTGACAAGTGTTAGAACAAAAGCAAATGTGATTCCAAAAATGGGTTAGTTTAGGATTAATATGTTGAATTTGACTATTTGCTACCTCCTCAAAGCAATAGTTGGGATATAGACAGTTTAAATTATTCCGATTTCATTTGTTGTTATAATCAGAGATCTTAGTATCTTCATGTGACTTGGATTTTACTTCACTCTTTCTTTTTCAGTTTGATTAGTACTTTAATTAATTTTTTAGTGTGTTTTTCTGGTCCTGTCTTCCCTTTTTTTTATTTTTTTAAGATTTTTTTTTTTATCTTCAAGGAATTAATATTTTACTTTTCTTAGTCAGATGAAGATCCCTTCAGGATGGGTTTCTGAGTTGATTAACATAAAATTTGCTGAAGTAAGATAAAATAGGTGAAGAAAGACATTTTTAACTATTACGTTTTCTAGACCTTGTATAAACTGATGTTTGGCAATTGCCTCTTATTTTGAAAAGGATTGTTTTTATGATCTCCCTCGCTCCCTCTTTTATGCATGCATGCACATATGCACAGTCTCTCCTCGTCTTTACATGGACAATATCCATGTTATACTGGCTGTCGTTTCTACTCATCCCAGTTTTAATTCTAATCCTTGAGTAAATATTTTAATATGTTTTAAACATCTGTACAGTTCTTAAAAATAAAAGAACATAGAAATGGGTTTCAGGTATAAATTAAGGTTGTAATAAATCTCATTGTAGAATTCCAAGGTAATATTTCTATCTTCTTATTTAATAAGCATGACTGGAACGTTTTAAAATGTTGCAAACAATCATGTTTGTGGGTGTATTCGCAAAAAATATCAGGGAGGAAGAGGATGAAAATCTGGCATATGTTAAAAGAAAACACATTTTTGCTTTCCTTTTATATGTGACAGCATCACGCTGTAAGGAAGAATTATGGAGTATATGTAATATTTATTGTGCACTTTTGTGGTATAAGAAAGATAGCTCACCTCCAAAGAAAGCTCACTCCTGCAAGTTTTCTTTATTTCACAAAAGTCAATTTTCTTTTAAAAAACCTTCCAATCAAAATCAATCAGGTTGACCTAATAAAAGTATGAGTCTGCTTTCTGTAGTTAAGTGTATAGTTTTGAATATTATCCAGATGTATGAAGGGAGTAAATAGTCTTGACTCATGCCCTATGAAGAATGCGTAATGAGGTCTTGATTGAATCAAATTCATTTTAAACAGGAATTAATTTTTATAGGGTAGTCTTTAGGTTCAATTGTAATTCCATTTGAGTCTGGAGAGTGCAGCAGAAATGCATTGTTGCCCATTCTTTCCTTTTCCCAAAACAGCTCCCAGAGTACTGCATCTCAGCTTGGTAGAGGGACAATATGTTTAGAAATGCATTATTGTTTTTATTGGTCGGGACACTAATGGAGGCCTTCCATGACAGCTATGTTTTATAAGCTGAATACTCGAATTAGGCTGGTTACTGATCAGTTGTTGGGATATTGATTGTGTCATTTACCAAGAGCTGAAAAAGCAGATTTGTTGTTGATGTTAATTTAAGGCTCCTTATCCCACTCCATATAAGTCTCCAATGGATGGTTTGGAGGTTGCAAGACTTAATTTAGCTAGCAGTATCCATGGAAAAGTAGTAAATGCAGACTTTACAATGTAAAGAATCATATGTAAACTAAAGGATTTCCAGTTGCAAGAAAAAACAGAGTTGTCAGTGGGTGTGTGGTATGTGTGTGTGTTTCTGTCAGGGAATTAAAATAGCCTTTTCAAATGGCTTATGCTACTCTGAGAGAGTTGCATGTTCTGCCTTCCACTGAGCCTGCATTTGTAGCCGTATTGTCACCATGAGCATCCCACCATTGATTTGTGTTCTGAGATGCTTTTTTTTGCCATTTTATTATGTTTATTTTAGCTGTTATTATTCTATGATTATTATTTCATTTTTATCAAGTTACACTTTTTATTATTATTAAGCTTGAAAGACAAGGTTGCGAGGTGTTGTAACGTGCTGTTCTTTCTTATGTGTTGGTTTGCTGGCAATCACTTTCCAATACATTACACCTCCTGCATTGTTTTAAAAATAAATTACTTGGGTTAGATACAAGTATTTCTTTTGTAGATGTGACTATGAAATTTAAAAATAATATATCTCGTGTAACATTTGCTGGCATGATGAACGTGCAGTTTAAAATAGAAGCCAGTTAAAGCCTCCTTCAAAAAAAAAAAATCTCAGAAAATATAAAAGTTATTTTGAAAACTAGCCATAATATTCCCCTGTGTGTGTTTTTGGTTTTCCCTGAATAACGAGTACAGAAATGTCTTTCTGGGTCTGTCCCAGTTTTAGAAACTGTGATTTTTATTTTTATTTTTTTTCCCAACTTTCTTCCTTTGAGCAACTGCTCAGGAGAATAAATTAGGCGATATGGCACGTATGGGGGGGTAGGAAATGCCTCAAAAGAAACGCTGACTAGAGGTGTGACAGGAGTTTGTTTAGCTGCTAGCCAGAAGACCTGCGTTTGGGAGTTTGGTGTAACTCCTTACTTGCAAAACTGTTCTAGTGTGTGATCATCAGAACATATGCACTCAGTCTCAGAGAGAAGGGAACCAGCTGGCTGGCAGAAAAATACCATTGGCATTGCCCGTGTTCTTGTGTTGACAATGTCACAAGCTGCCCTCCCAGATGGAGAATTTGAATGAAGCCAGTTGTGGGTCATAAAAAAAAAAAAAAAAGCCTTCATTTTTGTGCATCATTCTTAATGGTTGTTATTGCTTAGATGTTGTCTTATTTCATGGTCAGCAAAACCAGCAATTTTGCAGCGCTCTCCAGTTTCTCCTTTGAGAAGAAGCAGCGTGCAGTGAACACGTGACATCACACTGTATCTGTGCATTGTCTGCAGCAGTGGGTGCTCTTCTGCATTGTTGAACGTGGAAATTTTTGTTGCAACGTGTGGTTCTGTTTTTCCCTTAGGAACGCTCAGACCAGGGAGTCTTTCAAAAATCAGCCTTTGATGGGAGTCATAACTTTGCAGCTGCTCCCCGACGGAACGATGCTGTTCTTCAGCAATTCGTAACATGCAGTCCTCAGGAGGGAATAAAAGGTAGTCTCTAGATATCTTTCTCTGTGCTGAAAGAGAGTGCTTTGTGGTGTTTTTTTTCTGAAATCCAAAGCCACTAGAAAAGCAGTTAATTAGAGTAAGTGCACACTATGTTACTTTGAGGCTTGAAGATCCAGAGAGGGTGGGAGAGCTGACTCAGAAGTTGTGAATTAGATTCCTGGCACGAATTCCAGTTTAAGTAACAGTTTCTAGCTCGCTGCCCCAACACGTAAGGCTGGATAAAAAACAAATGATGAGTGCAAAATATATGTTGTCAAAATGTTTATTTTCTATATGTCTTTAATGAGCGCAGTGATTTTTGCAGTTAATTTTTAGATTATGTCCCAGGTTATTATAAGCTAAATTAATTTATACTAAAACATGATATTCATAAAGTGCACTTGCTTTTTTTAGATTTAAGGTAAAATTTGTTCCGAGGTTAGAAACATTCCCTTAATTTACAAATTGGAATTATATTAATGAACTCATTAAAAAAAATTAAGTAATCACGTACATTGTGCACAGAAAATATACATGTACGAGCATATGTAAGCATATAAGTAAGAGCTTTTAAGGCCACTTCTTTTCCCATCCTCTTTCATTTCTGATGGCCTACTGTACTGTCTGTCCAATTTGCTCCTGACTCAGCAAGGTACTAGTTATCTGAAAAGTTTAAGTATTTGAGATGGTCTTGACCCCTGTCCTTTTAAGTGTGCTCTCATCCTTCAAGCCAAGCACATACTTAAATACCTTCCAGTAGGAAAAAAAGATTTTCTTTGATGTAGTTGAATTATGCATGATTTTTCCCACTTCCCTAGACAACTGTGGAATCAGGGTGGCCAGCAAAAAGTAATTCCATAGGCTGCAGTGATGAGTGTGTGGGGTGCTTTTAGTCAAAACCAAAGAGCCCTTATCTGAAAAACTCAAGAAAAACTCCCATAGAATTTAAGGGTAAATTATTTGTGTTGACTTAAATATTTTGACAGTGTGAGTCCAGGCAAAGGATTAGATATAGGCTGAAGCATTATAAATATTCCAAGATCAGATCCTGTTGTTTAGATCTACCTTGCGTTTCTCGTGTGTGGATTTCACACTGATTTTGTAGTTACAGGAGAAAAGGAGCTCCTGTCTTGGATCTAGCCTGCCTTGTAGAGTTAGTTGTTGCCAAAGGATCAGAAAGGAGCAAATACCTTTAAATACTTCCTTAAAAAATATATAAAAAAATACTCTTGAGTCATTGATAGAGGTGAATGGCAACGGGTAACTTGTCACTTAAATTCAAAACAAAGTGTGTGGAAGAGCTTTATTTTCAGATAAGGGTTCTACAATTGCAATCCAAAAATCAAGGTGACTAGTTTGCAACCCAGTCATAAAATCATTTTCAATAGGCGTCTTTTTACTTAAAGAATGATGGTGAGAAGGCAGTATGGCAAAAGAAATGCGATAGCCTCAGAACAGAATGTCAGATGTGGAAAGAATGCTTTGGAGTGCTGCTGGAACAGGGAGGGTTTGCCATGGCTGGGTCTTCCCAGTTTTGTTGTCAGTCTTTTAAGGCATCTATAAAGGTAAAACACTACACCTGTGCACAATCCTCTCTTAACTTAGTTATGAACTTTTGGTTGTGTGTCTGTTGAAGGACATGAGTCAAAGACCTAGGGAGCTTCTTGTGACAGGCAGAAACAGTCCCTTATACATGCTCACAGTGTGCTATGCAGATCTTGGATGCAGAAGTACAGTTGGTACATTTTTACAAAGAATAATAAAAGACAGAGGAGATTTTTAAGATAATACAGAATCTAATGTAAGAATTTAATGACAGGAGTTGTATTATGTTTAATAAAATGTCACTTTCCTAATTAATGTTTTCTAATAAGTTATTTCCAGTACCATTCACTGCTCCTACCAATAAAATTCTTACAAAAACTCAGCAAAAATACACTGAAGCTTGGCCTGCTAATATTGCTGTCTGTTTTAAGAGTCTTTTTTATTATACATGAGCAAGAAAAACTAATGTGTGGGGAAAAGTGCTTATAGCCAAAACATTAACTTTTGTCTTGCCTGTGGATATTTAAATAAAGGGGGAGGGGATACTGATCCAATATTGAAATGCCAGTGTTTGTTCTATTTTTGCATGAATAATACTTGCTGCCTTCAGGTCCTCACTTCTTTTTCTGCCAAGCTGTTGCACAGTGTTTTTTAGAACAACCTCTTTGAGAATTGATACTGCAGTGCCAGCAGCTTTACATTTCTGGTGTTGAAAGATTACTGGAATGTGTTTCATTAGAGGTTCTAATATATTTCTTATAACCCTACATTGTAAACACTTATAGGGGAAATGCTGTCATCTCTCTGGTTAGGTAGTAGAACAATCAAACTTTCTCCACTACCATAGACTGAGTCCTCCTGGTTGTACAAGCATCTCTGTTTTCATACATATGTGGCAATGTCAAGATAGAAAATCAAGAAATTAAATTCCTAATGATTTTATTTAATTTTTAGATTTTGTTTGTAAACACTGCATATGTCTTGTAGACAGAATCTTTTTTTACTCACTTTATCTCTTTTACTCTGTTACTCTGTGTAGTGTCTGAAAATTGAGTACATCTTGATCAGTGGCTTAGAAATTCCTCTGATTTTCCTGGATCTGTTAAGGTCATTTCCTGAGGTCTTGAACATGGAGCCAGTGACTGCCCTTTAGGTTAAATTCTCTCACTCTCAGGCTTCTGCTCCCATTTTCCTGGGAGCTGTAGTCCCTTATGATCATTTCCAATTCAGTAAGGAAATCTTGACATTTTTCTGTGAGTAACATTTGTTTACTGCAAGAAAAATACCAGTGGTAACCCATCACCAGACAACCTTGGTGAAATGACGTCTCAAGCACCGTGAAACTACCTGATTTACTCAGCCTCTGCTGTGGCTGTAGGTGTCTGCTCAAAGAGGCTGAGCACAGCAGAAATGTGTGTGATTTTTTTTAGTTTTTTTAAATTCTTTTTTGTCCATCAAGTATCTCTTTCCTAGTTTGGGTAGTCAGTGGTTTAGGGACTTACTAAGTCAGAGGTTCTGTCTCTCCGATTTTTGGTACATTTTGTAATATTAAAAAAAATAAATTTGTTCCCAAAGCATTCTCATAGCAATGAGTTCTGTGAAAAATACCACTTTGTGTTTGTCCTAGGTGTGCTGCTTGATAGTTACACTGGTTATCTTGTTATCGTGTATGAGATACTAAGAGCTTCCTTTTCACCATATGCATACCCTTTACAATTTCATAGACTCCTCTTGTATCCCCTTTTATTTCTTTTTACTCTAAACTAAGCAATCCTAATCCTTGGTCCTTGTAGTAATGTTTCTACATGTATCCTACAACCCTTGCTACCTTTTCAGTATGTTTCTGAGTTCTATTACATGATTTTCGGATAAAAGAACGAAACTTCAGATCCTATTTCAAAACTGAGTTCTAGTTGGAGTGTTTGGACTTTTTTGGGCTTGTAAATGACTGTCTCCCTTTGACTTCACTAAACATGTCTGCAAAGAACAGTCTAGTGCACATCTAGTGTACAGTTCCAGTGATAATCCCTGCAGTAACAGCCTTCATGTATGTCTCGGGGTTTTCCCCTACTCCCCTGTGTATCACTTTGCAGTCTCTGACAGGGAATTTCACCTGTGCTGCAATCTTTTTGCAGAATTGCATAATCTGTTTCTTTTTGATAGTTCTGAGTGGTTTTTTTATATGAGGAAATATTTTCATCTTCTGATTCATCTTACAGATCATTTAATTACGTTGAACAGTATGAGATCCCCTTTGTTCTAAGTTGTTTCTACTGTGAGAATTTGCCATTTACTCCTCATCTGTTTCCTGTCCTTACATTCAAACCTGAAACAATGTGATCACAGTGCAAGAAACCAGTGTGCATGTGTTAGGTAGCATATCTGGTTTTTACGTCAGACTGGCAATTGATATTTTTTAAGGTCTCATTAAAACTTTTCACATCTGCTCATCTTCACTTTCTTCTGATGACATTCACACTTTTCCTGAGATACAGGGTTGGAGCTATTTCTTGTCATTCTAAACTTGAGGAATTTTATAGGATCCTTGAGCTAATAGTGTAGATTAGTTTGGATTGGAGTTTTTTGTTTGTTTGTTTTCTTTTAGGGGAACTATCTCAGTGCTCTTTTTAAATAAATATGACCTATTGCTTTCTGCCGTGATCTCTCCTTGTAGACCCTTTTTCTCTCCAGTCAGATTAGTGCTTTCACGCACAGTTGTGCAAAAAGACTGCCAACATTCCATGCAACAGAACAGTCCCTGTGAAAGTGCGGTCCATCAGTACTGTTAAATTGCTTACCTGCCACTGAAACCCAAGAAAATGTCCGTGTTTCCTAGTAAGTTTTGGAGGGGCAAAAACAGATTCTACATTGCAAGATGTAGGGACTTCTTCTAAGATCAGACCTTTAGACTGAGAAGTGAATTTACACAATAATGAACTTGCCTACAGCGGGCATGGCAGTCTTATAAAATATTGCAGGTATGTAAGTGGTGTTGCTCAGCAAACCTCTGAGTGGTTTGAGTAGTTCTTGTTTGTCTTTGTACAAAGTAATTTTCTGGTGTTAGCTGAATGCTTTTTATAAAGGTAAAGGAGGAGTTACCAAAATGGTAGGAAAACGAAGACTGTAATTAAGAAATGCCTCTTTCTTCTCTTGCCATAGAATAACAGAAATTTTTCTTCTTGCTGAGAACGTGTTCTCTTCTGTACATGAAAGGAGATAAGTGTTCCCCATCAAAGGGAATGAAAGCATGAACCTACAATCAGTTAGGATGCAGCTATGTAGAAAGTGAAAATCCACTCAAATGGAGTAAAGCAATTTGTGCCTTGCTCTCAACTTCACTATAAGTACAAAGTTTCCCTATATTTACCTTTAATTATGCATATGCAAATCTGGAAATCAGCTCTTCAGGAAATCCCAAGGGGTGCATTTTCTGCTTGGTGTGATTTTAATTCTAGTGTAGTTAGTTTAGGGATTTGAATAATTTGTGATTCACTTCAGCATTGCTTGAGGCCTTCCAGTCCAGTCATCAGTCAGTGATGGTGTAATGTATTTGTTTCTGTGGCTTATTTAACCCCTTTCTAAATTTTATTTCAGAGTTTTCAGTGTCTGATCGTGGCAATGGTGAAAACGAAACCCCTCCACCTCTCCCACCACATCCCAGTGAGGATCTGCTGAATGAGAATTATAATCATAGGTTGGACTTCAGTTCTTCTTAATAATTACAGCACTAATTGCTGATTAGTGGTTGTGATAATAGTTCTAATTGATTGGTTGTTTTTTTTTAAATTTGTACCACTCTTTTTCGTCACTTGCAATATACTTTACTATAAGCTGGGAATGTTATTTTAGCATTTAGTGTGTTGTCCATTTAGTTATTCACAGGCTGCAGTATACCTGCTCTCCGTGATATATGATACCCAGTGAAACAAAAAGAATCCCAAAGCATAATCCCTATTAAAAAAAAAAAAGGAAAAAAGTTAATTTAAAACTGTACCAGTGGATGCTATGTGTAAATGCAGTTTGAAGTCTCTTAAAGCTTTCAAAGTCCTAGCCAAACACAGTTTGTAGGAAAGTGAATGTTCTTATGTCAGCCAAAGACATTCTTGGGATTACAAAATGAATCTGCAGTAAGTCTGAGCAATGAAATGTGTAAGGGAAAAAATTAATGAAGACTTTACCAGTTGTAAATGCATTAATTAGATTTTTCAGATGCTTTTGTAAAGGCTGGTGTGCTTGATAGCAGCTAAAAATTTTAATTTCCTTAGTAAATACAGAAGTTTGGAAGTACAGAAAAAACTGTGAACATGTTGAACTTCATGATGGCTCGTACTGTTTCTGTCTCAAGTAGCACAGGATTCAAATCAAAGCATAATTTCAACCTGTCCTACTTGTGATGCTGAAATGCATTGTTGAACGCTGTTTATTCATTTTCTGTGTATTCAGTTTTCATAGTCATGCATCTCTTGCAGTGATATGAGGAAAATATGCATTTCAACTCAAACTTTAGCCACGTGTCTGTCCTTTTGTGCACGGATGGGATTAAAAACTACCCTTAAATGTTTGCATGTCATGTGAAAGAGTAGATATATTTTATTATGGATACCTTGAATTCTTCATACAAGACTCTCCTATTTTGTTTTTGCTAACATAGAGTAATTTCACTAGTGTAATTTCATAATTTCTGGTGTCCCAGACAGATATATATGACATAGTATACAAACAAAAGTCTACACAGATTAATGTAATTCAACAGTAAATTCTCAACTGCAGCTGTTTGCTAGAGTCCGTTCCTAATTTTTTCAACAAGCTAGGAGAAAAATATTCTCTTAAATATATCACAAGGATGATGAATTTATGGGCCCTTTCTCCCACCCTGACCTTTTCAGTGTTGTATTGTTTTTCCATTTAGAACTTAGTTCTCTTGAAATCGAATTGCAGTATCAAGTCACATTGGTTTCACTGAAACTCCATTTCAACAAAACATTTGGGAAAGTATTTTGCTGCTGTAAAACCAACCTTTTGATTGAACAATTTGGAAATAAATGTTTTTAATTTTCAAACTGCTTTTCTGTTTAAGAGTATTTTAAAAAATAGTAATTTCTGTTTCTAATCAAAAAGAGACATGGAAGATTTCAAATGTATTACCCTGAAGTGTTTTGATTCCTCACACGTGAAAGTTACTTGGAGTTTCACTCAGGCAGAATTTTGAAATGTTTAGAAATTTGCATTGAAGTAGAAGAACTAAAAAAAGACTAAAACAAAATAAAACCCAAACTAACCAAACACTTTGGAATACTTTGGAGTTCTTCAAAAGGTCATGGCACCCTCCTTAAGACCTCCAGCCTCTACATAAGTGGTGCAAGGCTATAAAATAATTTTATATTAGCAGATGAAGTAGAATTGATCTACGTACATTGTCAGTATTTTGCCAACATTCTGTAGCATGTTATTTGGAAATGCAGTGGTTAGATAGAACTAGCAAAATGGGAAAAGAAAATAATTACTTATCATTTACATTTATATTTCCATCTGTGATGAAAAACAACTGACTGTTGGTGTTAAGTCTCAGAAAAGGAAGTTGAGGATCAATATCTGATTTTAAAAATGCATGCTGTAAGCAACTAGAGGAAGAAACACATGTATATTTGTGCATTCTTTAATTAGTTCACTTGTGGTTTGAATTGGTGCCTTAATATTTTGCATATTTCTTTTTTATTTTATTTCCTACAGCCCTTACATAAATTCAGCAGTGCATTTAACAGATCAGCACATCAACTTCAGATCTTTGACACCAGCCAAGCAGTCTGAATCAATTAATCTGAAAGCCTCAAAAAGCATGGATCTGGGTAAGAAGGGGTGGGGTGACATACAGGTCAGCTTTTTAGCCTTAGCCCATCTCTCCTTCTTGCTTTTGTTTCTTTAGCACTAACATCAGGGAGTAAGTTCTGCACAGGAGCTACAGTGATAGGGACAATGGTCAGCATTGTAGTAGCATCTATTTGCAAGTATCCTTTTTCTTGAAGCTGAAGAAAGTTTGGGGTTTTTTTGGTAAAGGGCCACTGTATTGAAATCTTAGCTGAGAAAAAGAATGATAGAAGTATAAGCAGAAAGAATTGCTGTGCAAGTTTTGTGTGTCTAAAATGTACAGCAAAACCAGCAATACCAAAAGTAATTTCTTTTATAGAATACAAATGATTGTAAAACTGCACTGGACAAAGGGTTCCTCAGACAAGTTGTTTATTTCTTCATCACCAGTGACAAACACAGGCAATCAAAGCCTTGCAGTAGATCTTTTTAAATGCTTGGAGAGTGTAAGGTTATGGTTCTTTACCCATCAGAGCTGTGCAGAAAAGCTTGCAGGGTGGGTGAAGCAGAAAGTAAAAGGTTCTTTCAATACCAGGAAAGCATTTGCAGGTGGAAGATTGAAGGGTTACTGCAGCTGGAAACCAAGCCATATTTTAATGAGGGTTCATGAGAAAATTCACAAGCTTCTAAAGTCTCAAAGTAAACCAAGTAAGATTTTCTTTTTCCTTTTAATTCTCCTTTGCCACATTTTATCTGTTTGGGTTTTTTTCCCCAAATTTAGGAGTTGAGGGGGAAACCTTGAGACCTACCATTAGGATATATTTATGCGCTTTGTTGGATCAGATTTTGTACACTGATAATAAAAAAATTATTAATTTCATATATAGTTTCAAGGTAGCTTTTTGTTACCTTGCTGATTTGTTTTTCTGTGCAGTGCTCTAGATCAGTCTTATGTTTTTTATTCTTGATTTTTATTGTCATCTTAATGGAATATTTTAATGTAACATTTAATGTGTTTACTCCTCTAATAGCATGTAAGGACCAGACAGTTATTAATGTGGGATAAGAGTGGATATGAATTAATCGAAGAGAGTTTTTAAGGCAGAATTTTAATGCTACTGCATGACCATTCCAACCCTTTTGCAGTTCTGTTCCGCTGTTTTGACCAAGAGTAATGGATTACGTATTTTTTTAAGAATGGAAATGCTCCTCAAAAAATGATTGCAGTTACAAACTTGAGTCGCAACACACACTGTGTGTAGTCTACTAGAAAAATTAATGTTCAACTTTACTGAGTCGTCTTTTAGAAAGGTTGACTTCCAACTCCCACAGAAGTCACTAGAAAGAATGCTCACAAGCACCAGTGTACAATTAGGCAGTGGGAGTGCATTTGAGAGCACAGTCAGAACTGCCAGGTGACCTATACTTCAAACTCTATAAAGCAGTCTGCTCCTGACACCCAGAAGCAATGCTTTGAGAACGTATATGAGTCACTAAATCGTGATGGCTAAAAACTAAAATAAAATGGGGTGCAAAAATAAAATAAACAATTTATACGAATACGTCCTTTAGATCTTTCTGAGATCGTTGCCTGTTAGAAAGTAGCTGCTGAAAATGCACCTTCTGTTTTGATAGTAAAAAATGAAAGGGGTGATAATTGGTCTGATCGGAGGCACAAATGTAAAGATGGATCTATTACTTGAGATAGTCATGTAGAGAACTGGAGACACTCTGAAAGAGCTGCACCATATTTTCATAAATCACAATAGATGAAGTAAAATTCCTTGCACATAGCTTAAAAACAATAAAACTGAGGAAGATGAAAGCTAGGACCTTTTATAGCCATTCTCTAGCAAGCAGTGAAGTAGCATGTTTGACTTTCCAGCTTTTGAGATATTTTAAGCAGAAGCTACTGGCTGGAACAGGAAATGGAAAAGAAACATGAAAATCTCAAGGGAAGTAACTGCAATATAAAGGGCTTCTAATACAAATAAAATCCCAGTAGTTTGGTATATAAAAAAGTGCTTCCAAATAGAGCATTCATGTAATTCGCATTCCAAAATGGATTTTTGGGAAAGAGAACTTGTTTTTTATTTCCTTCTAACTTAACTGCAGTCATGACCCATAATAACTTCTCATCCCAACGTGCAGCTGTGTATCCATTATTGATTTTAGTGCACTCTTTGCTGGGGAAAAAAAAAAAAGTACCACTGTCTTCATGTTCCAGCAAATCTCGTAACAAAGAGGAGATGTCCCCTCTGAAAAGTGCTAGGCTTCTTTTTGCGGGAGTCATAGAATGCTGTCCGCTTACTGCTTTTCTTTTGTTCTCAAGTTCTGTCAGGCCCTTCAAAAAAGAAAATCTAACACAACGAACAGAAAAACCCAGAGTTGGAGTGCAGGAGGAGAGGTCTGAGACCTTAGAAAATGTGACTTAGATGCAGTTTATTTCTTTTCAAACCAAGTTGTCTCTGTATCAGGTGTCTCCACAGATCTAGGAAATCACCCAGAGATTCGGTCTAGAGACACAGAATAATATCACAGACTCAGTAGACAACAGAATTGGTGTAATACAGGACATAAATGTGAAATCTATACTGCTGTTCACTTTTGAGACATTTTACTTCTCCTTGAAATGTGTATAATGCATCCATTGCCTAATTATAAGGTTACAAAGATGTGAATTACATAATGACATTGCCATTCAAAGGATCATCAAAGGTAGGTAACAGAAAATTTTAAATGCAAGAGAATACTGATATGACTGTAGATTATGAACCATATGTGAAAATAATAAATTAACTAAAATAGGGAAGTAGTGGATCTGTATAATAAGGGTCTTTCTGGCTTTGATGAGGGTTGATGTGTACACAAGAGGCAAATCTGTTAAGTAAAGACTAGTCTATAATTACATGGGTACACAATGGAAACTCATTCAACACTGATGTTTATCTTTTCAGTTTTATATATTTTAGGCTCAGAAACCTTTGAGTGCTTAATCTGTTTTCCAGTCATACCTATTTACAAAATAATAATATTATAAATTAATACCCTCAATGAATAATCTCAGGTAATAAGAATGCGTAACCAAAAATTGTTCAGTACTGCTAACACATTGCATCAATTTGTCATTGTCACTCTCCAGAGCAAATCCTGCAATGAAAGGAACTTGGCACATGCAGCAGAAACTGTAGGTTACTTGCCAGTAGGGCAGATGTAGTTTAGTTTATTGACACTTGGTGCATTTCCATACTGGTGATTGGGCAGCTGGACAGGAGCAGAGCACATGAGCCACTGCCACCGGGTTGTTTAGGCAGGGCTCTGTGCTGTGCTCTGCCATGTGCGTGCCATGACATGCATGTATGAACTGACACAAGTCTTAACTGCTGAATTCATGAATAACAGGAATCCTTGGTGTATTTCAAGAACTCACTTTATTTGCAGACGATTTTGTCTTTGCTTAGACCTATTTTAAAAAATAAAAATCAGTGTCATGTGTGACTTATTGAGTTACTGTTGTAGAAAAAAAAAAAAAGGCAAGTCTAGTGGTAATGATCTTTTTTTTTGGTTTTGCAGATATGAGCAGAACTTGCCTTATATGTACAGATGCCCTTGTGCAAAGTATATGGAGGGAGGGTGACTGGTTCCCTGTTTTAGCATCCATCATTTCCACAGTGTTCAAATGCTTCTCAAAATTTACAGCTTCATTCAGAGCAATAGAGTACAGATTAGTTTCATATCAACTGTAAGTCCTAATGTTCTTCCCTGCTGCTGTGTTGAGATAATGACAGCACTTTCTGGATCACTGGTGGAGTTCATTTCGTGTGTCTTATGACATATATTTCTTTGCCTTACCTACTTTTATTTTGAACCTGGTGGTGATAAAAATTGCACAACCCCCCCCTCTACTAATCCTTGCACTTGACACATCCACTCAGTTGCATACATTTTTTTATTCTTCAAACACGGCTGTCCACGTGTTAACAAAGCAAAGACCCTTCTTATAACTGTGACTTCAAGAATTTGTGCAGGGCCAAGCGAAGTCTGACTTGGAGTGAATGCTTGTAGTGACCAGAGTTGGACTGCATGCCATGTTTGGACTTGTGCTTATAGCATAGTGTTAAAAATATGTAAAACAAAATAAAAAAATCATAGAAATAAGTGTTGTGTTGTCCCTTCCCCCTGATGTGGAACCCTTTTTTTGAAACTTCAGGGCAGATGACAAAGGAAGAAATCAATGACTTCTATACAAGTCATTGGAAGGATGATTCTCCCTTTCTTTTAAACAGCCTCCTATAGGCACACATTTTTTCCAACATTACCACAGTTGTCTAGAGAAGAATTTCTATATAATATTTTACCAGACTCTATTTTCAGTAGTGTTTGTTCTTTTAATTATCTTAAAAATGTAATTTTTGCAATGTTAATGTGAAAATTTTTTTTCATGTTGTATTGGAAGGTGTAAATCGGTGTGCTCTAAGAAAATGAAAGGATAGGAGGTGTCTTATTATCTATTTCCAACACCCCGATTTTCCATAAATCTTTATGCACAGGAGTGATTTTAAGCTATGCATAAATGTACTGTAAAAACTACAGCCAGGGGAATTGTATGCAAACACATGAAAGTGTGGCTTGTTTTAACCTGAAGCAACATGAAATTGAATCATATGAATATATAGCAATTTTGTTGCGTATCAATTCAGGCAAAGTACTGTGTAGATATTTGAGGATGTTGGTATAATAACCCATGACCACTATCCCAAGGTGCTACTTAATTCCCTCTTCCTTTCCCTATCAGAAGCAAAAACCCGTAAATCTTAACTGATTAAGCTCTGTAGCCTGAAGAAATGTATATGTCCTTTACTTGATTTTAAATGTGAGTGAAATATTGTTTGCTAAAACATCATTAGACACACTCGGAATCCCTTAACCTTGGGGTGTATTTATTAAAATATAGGCCAACTTACGCATTTAGGAATAATTAGCAAGTAAATATGAAAGATATAAGTTATGGGATATTCTGTGAGGAAGCCAATATTTAACT